AACAGATATGGTGCACGTTCATGCCATCTCTGAGTTTCCCATTGTGTGACATTATTGTTGTTTGTAAATTTGATCTTTCATCATTTGCTTCTTGTCTCTTTGTACACTGTGTGTTTTTGAGAGGAAGCTGTTACTTTGATTTGTTCCCAGATGGTGAGTGCCCTTCCTTTTGATGTCTAATAATATCTTTCTCTCATTATTGTAAAAATAAACAAAAAAAATATTTTTTTCAACCTCTACTGTTATGAAGTCAAATGAGTTGTTTGTAGCCTGAGTTTATTTTATAGTCTATTAAAGTCACTTAGCGATGTTTTATAAGTAGTAAGTTCCAAATCAGTGGCCAGAAACTTGTCAGAGCTCCTGTCCTTGCTTACTTATATACTATTTGCCTTTTACTGGCAGTAGTGATTTACACACTGGATAAACTGTTTCTTGCTGGCGTTTATCTACTCTTATTTTTTCCATATATTCCTTACATTCAGGTTATGAATTCAGTACACAGATACAGTTGAGTACTTAGTATGCTGAAAGAGTTTGATGCTTCTGCCATGTGATAAAGAAAGACACAAAGTGAGAAGGAAAACACATCTATGTGTGAATTGATATATACTGGAGATACCTGTGATTAAACTCGCTCCCACTGGATGTCACTATTGTTCCACAGAAATTCATCCAGGAGAATATTTATCTAGCGTTGAGTGGCTGACAGCAAAGACCATTTGCTTGCAGCAAACTGAACATTTCTAATTGTGTTTGCAGGAATATTGTACATTCATGTTCATTTTGCGATTGGATTTTATATCAAGGTTCACCATTTCGTGATAGTAAAAAAACAGAGGGCACTGCCAAAGCTTCAGCTGTGATGGCTGTGTGAGTGCAGACAGTGAGTCAGGGAAACCAGCCAGCAGAGGAGCTTGCAGTCATTATACTCAAGCCACTTGTTCTCATTGTTATTCTCTTACTCTGCAATTGCTGGAGGTAATCTCAACACAGTGAATGAACATCACCAGTCTCCTCGAATTTGCTTAGAACATCAGTTATTTTCTTTTTCCAAAGAGGTGCATTTTGTGTGGTTTATTATTCTGAAATAGCGTTTGAATATTCCAAGAGCTAAGTCGTTGAGAGGCTGAGTAATCCACTGGCTAGGATGATGTCTTGGTGTGAGGAGACTGGATTATTCTCCCAGTACTCAACTGGTTTGTGATCAAGCAAATTCCCTCAAATCTGTCTATTTGCCATGGTCTGTCTGTCTTTTCAACATTCCTTTTAAACAATTTAATGGTAAGAGATTGTTGGAAGGTGTTTCTACAGTGTCTCACAGAGAAAGTCCTGGCTTGCCTTAAAATTTTTTGGGGGTGCTGCAATAAAATGAAACAGTCTGGTGATTCCACCAGCATTTCTCTCAACACTGTTTAAATAAATGTAGGCTGCAAAACCATGCCAATGGGCATGGAAGAGTGCTGCACTTTGTCTGTGGCTTGTAAAGCTCTGGTGTTCCAGTGGTAGCCCCAGAACTCCATATATGACTCAGGAAAAGGAATAGCAGATGACTAAAAATCCTAAAAACCACCAACCAAACAAACTCCAAACACTTTGAAACCCCATTTTTGCTCTCCTAAACTTGGAATGTGTGGGTAGTATCAGCTCCATTAAGGGAGAGCTAGGTCACTAGAGGCACTCAGTCACATCTCCTTCCTCAAGGTAGTGCCTAAAATGCTTGTGTGAAGGCTCACAGATTTGTAAGAGGCATCATAGCTCCTGCACATCCTCTGAGGATTCCTTGGCATCACCTCAGCAAGGTTTTAACAGTTTTGTCACAAGCTGGCACCAAAATATCCAAAACTCTACACAAAGCGGGGTCAGAATTTTAGATACTGGAGAGAAACAAAGGAGAAATTTCTTCTCTGGAACCTTGGAGGCTTCAACACTTCATTTGTATTCAGGAGAGGGGCAGCCTTTCACAGGGACTGAAAGTTGCTCAGCTAAGACCAAATCATTGCTAGAAGATTATTAGAATTTGTGGCTCTGGTGGCTGTGCCACCCAAAACAAGTCACTTCCAGAGCGTTTCATTTGACAGTGGTGAGGCTGAGTTGAGCTTAGTTCATGTAGTCTTTTTCCCAGGTGAAAGCATGGATTTTGTAATGTGTTTTAACGTGCTGTGACGTGGGTTTAAAGTGTTTTCTAAGCCATAGGCACTGGAGGGGGACTTAACACCTTGGCTCACAGGCCCCAGGCTGTGCAAGAAGGTTCAGAGAGTTACACTGGGCATCTTTTTTGTGTAATCAAACAGTGTTTTCATTATCAGTGATGATAGCAGCAATTACACATTCATCTGTGCGTGGGGCGTGTTTGGGAATTCGTATGAATTAATTGATCTGAGCATGTCTGTGCATGAGTATAGACATGCTGGTTTTTCACAATTATTGTTGTGACCCCTCCATGGTTAATGGCATACTGGCCTTGTTTTATATTTCATGCCCATAATTAAATATTTTTCAAAGGGAGCTGGTGAAAATTTTACAGGCATTGCTTTCTGAAGGAGGTTATGGATTGATTCTTTCTGAGTATTGTTATGGTTAGAACGAGGCACTAAAGAAACATAAAAGGAAGCATATAAAGTTCAGCTCAGTTATAGACAACTCATCCACAATCACAGTCCATTAAGAAGTTTTAGAAGGTGTATTAAATATTTTTGAATAGCAAAAATTCTAAAGCAATAGTATGAAATTATTTTCCGATTGCAGTTAGCATTCCTAAAACTAAATATCAAAATTTTAATTTATTTTTATATGGATTTATATATGTATACACATACACACACGTGTGTGTGTATGTATATATGAACATATGTATGTTTTGTACCAAATCTTTCTTTCTTTGGCTGTGCCTAATATCAGTCACCACTGCAGAGATTAAAGCCTGGGGAGGTACAGGGATGGTTCTTAACATGAAGTTTACAGCAAACTCTAATCCTTCAGTGCAGAGATAACAGAGGCCTCCTGGTAGAAAGCTGAATCCCATAATAGCCAAGATAATTAAATGTGTATTGACTTTTTAATAGCAACTTTCAAGGTACAACTCAGGTACAACTGTGCTGTGCTGCTGAAGCCTCTCGAGCACTTGCATTATTAATGGTGTGGGATCCTTCCTCTACTCAGGAAAACAGGTTCTCTGTTGCAGGGTTCACTATAGGCTCAAGCTTCTACCCTTGGCTCTTTCCTCACTACAGTCCTTGGAAATGAGAATGTTCCATTACATGAAAAAAAACCCAACCCAAACCCCTTAGTTGTTTTTAAGAGGTGCTTTCTAGCTTTGTTGTCATTGTATCTAGCAGGTTTCAAGGTGATTGCCTGGGATTGGGTTTTTTCCAGTAACAATTCAGGAGCACATTCTGCTAAGGTTTTGCTTTTTCTAATCTGCTGCAGTGAAACTGCTTTGTAGAAACATCCCCTCCCACTGAAGACGTGCAGTTTACTAAGCCAAATCAAGTTACAAAATAGACATAATTAAATTACTGACTTGCTTCTGTAAAGGTGCTGCTGTATTATTTAATAGCTTCCCTTCCTGGTAATCAAAATTAGAGGTATGATTTATTTGCAAATATGGGGGATATTATATTCTTCTGCAACCAACAACATACATGACTTTGGGAGAAGGAAGGCAGGGAATAGCTGGGTTACAAATCTGTATTTTGCCCAGAACTACTGATGAATGACTAGACATTAAAACTGAGTATCTGTGAATTCTTGTAATGTCATTATGGTTTTGCTAAGAGAGAATAATAATTTGTCACTGATTTATGTAAGGATTTTTGGATGCACTCAGATCAGTGGGTAACCAATTTTCTCTGAAAGCTCTTTGCAGCTGTAGTATGTCTAAAATGTACAGTGTTTGGCTTTTTAAGTAATGAAGCTTTATTTACTTATTAGAGGGTCAGTGTGCAAAACACATCACACGACCTTAACAAGCCTAGCCCAGCAAATAAACAGAAATAGAAGAAAATGATGGATTTTAATGATTTCCTCAGCTACATTAATGCCTTTGACAGTCTTGAAAAGAGAATTTCTAATGAGCACTGAAACAAATGTGTGCAGGAAGTGGTCTTGCTTCTGCTGCCACACATTTGAGTTCCTCTAATTGCATCAATAAGGAATTTCTGCTCCTCATCTAATGAATGCCTTTTGACTACTTTCTGAAAGGCAACTGGATGTAGGGATAAACACTGGCACCTTTTATATGAAGTCACATAAATAGGTTTCAATTACTAGTTATCAGCCCTATAGAAACACTATTATAATGCAGTACAATAAATCCCATTGTAGCTCTTTATTTTTAAACTTTTATTAAGCCTTGGTTTCCCTCAGCTTTGCTTTTTAGTGATACCTCATGTCCTAAGGCTGCTTTAACTCCTCAATGGCTTTATAGTCTCTCTTGTGTTGGGCAGCACTTAGACATTCTTTCAGAGCTGTTCCTGCACCATCTCTCTCCTCAGACACCTCAGAATTCATATGATGCTACAGCACCTGGGTCTTTAGTTTGTTCTGGGTTCAAAAAGTGACTTTTAGAGCAAGGACTGGGGGTGGGGAGGGGATTGGGGAGGCAAAGGGGGGACACACACACTGAGTTTGACTTTTTTTTTTTCATTGTTGTCATTTTTCTCCCTAAACAGAGGCACAGTTGCTGCAGGTGCAGTGGATTACTTATGAAAGAAGTTTTCTATTTAAAAACAAGAGAGACTTTAATGAAATCAGTAGAGGGTTTGTACAATAGGTATTGTATTAAACCAGAGCTCAGGCTTCACATTGATTGCGGTATTTAAATTTCAATGAGTTGATTATGTATGAGAGTAAAATGACCAGTATTATGAATGTACAAAAAAGAGACATGGAAGAGCTGTGCCAGAAAAGTGAGAAAAACGTTCCCTTTATAGTCCCTAGAGTTCAATAAAGTACCACTATTTCCCAGCTTTTAAAAGCTCTTTTATCACAATGGTTCATACCTCGCATTCCCTGGAGCCTGATTTGTTATACGTGCAGGGTCCCGTTCCGTTCAGCAGCATCTCGCTGGTCTCGGTGTTGGTGGGTTTGTAATCTACATAAAATTCCTGCGTGCTGGGAGTCATTTGCTTCAGCGACTGTCTTTTCTTTTTCCTGTGCCTTCGCATGAGCGAGCGCTGCTGCAGCTGCTTCATACTGGCAGGGTAGCGCTTCCATGACACATAGATCACCAGCAGGATCACAAGCACAGACAGGAAAAGAGCCACGCTGCCTGCTATGATTTTGTGGAAGGAGATGTGTTCTGTGTCGTGCTCGGGCTCGGAGCTCGATTCGGTGGCTCCGATAGTCGGGGGCAGAGGGGGCTTGCTGTCGTGTTTAGGCCTGGTGAGTTTTGGTTTAAACGTTGGCTTTGGGAGAGCTCGGGCTAGTTCAAACCTTTCTGTGGTACTTTTGCCACAGATGCTGTAGTTTTTCACTGCATCAATAACATTCACCCCTTGCAGCTCTTTGGGGCTGGCACAAATAATGGTGTTTTCCCTCAGCCCTCTAAAACTTTTAAGCCAGTTTACCAGGGAGCAAATGTTTCTGCTGCATTCCCATATATTGCCGGCAAGGCTGATGTCATTGAGGGATATCCAAGAATCCAAAATTTCTTGACCAATAAATGTGAGCTTGTTTGAATCCAGGTTGAGGCGCTGTAAATTGGGCACACACTGAAAAACACTAGGTCCACTGAAAGCTTCTATTTCATTGCCAGATAAATCAAGTCTTTGTAGTGAGCTCCAGGTCCAGGACATAGTTTGTCCTATCACACTGATTTTATTCCACTGTAAGTAAAGGTTCTGAAGGCTGACTAGCCTTGGAAAAAGTGCCAGGTTGAGCTTAGAAAATTGATTGTGCTCCAGGTGAAGCTCTTTCAGTCTGATCATACCTGCAAAGACATTCCTTGCTAAACTTCGGATGCGATTGTAACCCAGGTCCAACAGTTCAAGGTTCCTACAATCTTGAAATATTCGAACAGGGATGGTTCTTAGGGAATTGGACCGCAAATGTAAACTCAGCAGCTTCCTTAAGCCCCTGAACTGTTCAGATCCCAGAGACTGCAGCTGATTGTATGACAGATCCAAATTCCGGAGATTTGTCACAGGTCTGAAGGTATTATTAAGAAAATAGGAGATTCTGTTGGAACTCAAGATCAACTCTTTTAGTCTGCGTATTCCACTGAAAGCATTTTCGTCAATATTGCTGATGTGGTTATGGTCTAAATAGAGCCAGGTGAGTTGATTAAGACCTTTAAATTGATTGTATTTTAGTTTTTGGAGGCTGTTATATCGAAGGGACAAACCTAAACAACCAGCAGATATACTCGAGGGAATCTCCTGCAATTTCTGAGATTCACAATAAACCATTTTGCCTTCACACCTACAGCCCTTAGGGCATCCTCGTTCAGCAGAAGAAAGCATTGTCAGTAATACAGTAGGGGCTATTACCAGAGCTACAGCTGATCCGCTCAGTAGCCTAATTACATTGAAACCTGGAAATAAAAACAACTTAGAAAAGTTATCCCCCCACACATCAGTCATTTCTTTCAATCATGCTAAAATCTTTTACTTCAACAATCTTTTAAAAACCCCTAGCCAGACTCAACTAATTTTCACAGTTTTTTTTTTTACTCAGCTTTTTCTTTTTTTTTTTTTTTTAAGAATACCTTGATATAAATACTGAAAAGCAGTTGGGTAAAAGGTGTAATCCCTAAGCCATTTAAGTATAATAACAAATCACATCAAGGTAAGTCTATGGAGTAATTAAAGCACAGGCTATGCAGTAACTATGAACTATAAATTAAAAAGATAATATAAAAAACATACCCATCCTTTGTGTTGTTCAAAGGTCGTCCTTAGGTCTTTTGTTTTTTGCTTAGTGTGCCACAAGCATGGCAGCCCCTGTCAGCTGCACTGGAGTGAGTCAGGGCTCGCTGACACCCAGGAAGAAAAATTGGACCCCTTGGGAGATGGACCGATTTTGAAACATTATTCTTTGCCAGCCGTGCAGAACACTCCAAGAATAAATCAATCCCAACACAGCATTCGCAGCAAAATGTCAAATTCTTCCTAGGTAATAGGATCTTCATGGATATTACGTTTTTGCATCTTTATAGTTAGGCACCTGGCTTTTAAAATGTTGCTTTATAGGGAAGCATGTTAGATTCCTTCTCCAAGCACCGTTTAGCTATCTGAATTCACACATCTGTATTCCATAGCCCAGCGGTTCCCTCCCTGAGCACCCGATCCGGCTGGGCAGCTGCTCTGGAAGCGCAGGAGGTGGGATGAGCTCTCGCCGGGATCCCGCTCGGCGCAGTCCCGCTCTCTCCTGCCGAGAGCTCCGTCCGACTGTCGCCGGGCTGGCGGCGGGCGCTGCCTTATGTAAAGCTGCCCCCAGCGGCAGGAATACCGCGGGCATGTGCAGACCCTGCCTTTCCCTTGCAAATGAGCGAGCTCTCCCGGGAAAACAGGGATTGCTCCGAGTCACTGAGACCGGCGGAATGGTCAGCTGCGGCGTAAAGCAGCGAGGTGTGTCGAATACCCGAATCCTCTCAGTCTCTCCGGCTGTTTGTGAAAGCTACTCTGCATCCTTGAACTTGGCAGCAGTGAGCTGCTGAGACTTCGGTCTGAAGGGCTGATATGACATTTGTAGGACATGGATACAATTTTTGGTCCCAAGGATTTTTTTTTTCTTACTGCTTTAGATATGTGTTCACGTAACCTTTTTACAGTCACTCACTATTTTTCAGTGAAGTATCAGCCCCCTCAGTGTGTCCCTTATCAAGTGTTTCAGCGTGGACACTATATTTTACAACGTGAAGAATGTTTTGGAGCTGACATTTTGCCTTTTCGCTTTTTCTTCTCTGTTAAAAGGCACGGTGCCAGGAGGTTAGAAGAGAGTACTGCGCTCATTTATTTCCCAACTTGCTGTCACTTTGTTCCACAACAGTAACACTCCAAGCACAGGCTTCCCTAACCCTCACAATATAACAACTAAGCAGCTTGGTGTAGTACCTTAATGAGGTGAATAGATTTTACTGTAATTCGGGACAGGGATGGGATTTTATGTGGAGGTAAACTCTGCTGAGTTTTTTTAGATGTGGGACGCTGGACAGTCCTCATATATCACCTAAAGAGCTGCCTTGTCTTTCCTCAGCCTTCCTTTCTTTCCTGCGTGCTGTAGGGAAAGAACACATCCTCTTATCTGGGCAGAGCAAAGGTAAGATGGTGGTACAGTAAATGCACCATGCTGGCAGTCTTCCTTCACCAAGAAATATGTGATCAAAGATAATAGCGGGGAAGTGGAAAATCATGGCTCTTTGTGTGAGAATGGCCTGGAGCCTGAAGAGTAGTGTGCTGCTCCTTAAAAGAGGAGTACAGAGTGCAGTCCTCAAATGCACCCAGACGGTGCTGAGAACCACTTTTCCTTTCTGAGGCAGTATCCTTACCCCTTGGAATAATAGGCTTTGACTTTTCTCTTATTATTCACTGCTGTGGGCATAGAATAACTTAAAATGAGGTGAAACCCAAATTTTTCCAGGCATTGAAATGCCAGCTTTGCCTAGTACTTAGTCTGTGAATGAGTTCAGGTTTATAGTAATCCCACTAGGGCATCAAGCTCTAGTGTCTAAATTAGGAGCACGGTCGCTCCCAGCTAATAGCTGTGAGCACCTTTCACATCAGAAATACATCCTGCATCAAGACGAGTTCTGTGAAAATTCTTGCCTTTGGGTGAGATTTGTGGAGTGGGAAAGGGTTAATTCCTCCATTGATCTCTGTCAGTGTCACCATCTCCCATTCTCTGCTGCAGCTTGTTCCTGGCTCTTCAGTCTGATCTGTAGGGTCGAGGAGCCAGCGACAAACTGAAGGCTGCCCTGGGAACTGGGAGAGTCTGAGGAGCTGTTCTGCTGACAGCAGTGTCATGTGCCAGCCCTGCTGTGCTGGTGTAGGCTTTCCATCACGGCCTGGGGGTCTCTCTGTGCTTGATGGAGCAGGAAGGAGACAGTTCAGACCTTTGGTAAGTCAATTTGCCTCTTGGAACTGCTGCTGTTGATAGTAGATGCCTGTGAGAGGGAAACTTTATTGGAATGGTTCTTTTAGGTTCATAAACTTAGATGGCGTGAAGTTAGGTTTGAATCTTCACCTGGTTCAAACGCAGCATTTAAAGCTTCAGATAGCATCCAAATCCTTTCTCCTGAAGAATTGGTGCTACTTAGCATACCAGCTCGCACTCAGCCTTCTTCCCAAACTTTGCCTGTTCCTTTTTTTACTTTTCTCCCTCCTCCATATTGGTTGTGGAGTTAACAAGTAGCTTCTTGGCCACCATGAGTCAGCAGAGCCTCAGCAGCTTTCCCAGGGTTTTAATAATTGCCAATATACTGCACTAATAAGAGGGAACAGCCACTCTTTTACCAAGAGTTATTTTCATTTTTCTGAAAGGGGTGAGACATCAAGAGATGAACAGAGAGAGACCATCAAATCTATGTTAATGGATTGCCAAATTCAATTTTCTTTACTGAGATCCTTTTTGAATTACATAAGCAGGAAAAGTGCCAGTGTCTGATAAACAGTTTTCTTAAATTACATTTCTGTATCTTCATACAGCAGAATGGGTTCTCTTCCAGTTGTGGAAACAGAGCTGCTCCCAGTCTGAAACATTTCATATAAAATTTCAGACCAGGCTGGCCATATTATAAACAATGAAAAACAGAGAATTAAGTTAAAGCTGCGTTTTAGATAAGAAGATACCTTTCCCTTTTATTGACTACACCTTGTATATCAGTGCAGCCCTGTTGCATTACCCTTTAACTCCTGTAACCAGGAGAAAAGAACCTGAAGCCCAGCTGGTTTACTTTTGTTATGGATAAGCTATTTCCATTAGAACTAATACCATATCTTCTGGGTGCCCAAAATCCAGGAGTGTGTTGATGCCTTGGTATGAGTTTAACTCCAGTCCGGGACAGGAAGGAAAAGGTACAAGTGACAGAAGTCTCCATAACTTGATGCTGATTGAAAACTAGCGCTCGGAAACAATGTTATCCTTTCTCTTCTGCCTAGGAAAACAGTGTTTTAGCCAATTCTGCAGAGCTGAAACTCTTAAGCAAATGATTTCCTTTATTTTTATACTCTTGAACACGGTCTGTGTTTTGGAAGTTCAGCCTTAGACACAGATTGAGATACCACAGAACCTGGAGTGCTTTTTGAGCGGTTTTCAGTTTTGTGACTCTGTGATCGCTCCACTTTGTTTTTCTGAGGGGGAAAATGGCATACATCAGAAAATACATTGGCAAATGTATTGCTAGATATGCTTTAACCTTCATCCAGATGAAAAGAGGTGCGTTGGGCAGAGCCTGTGATGAACACAGTTTTCTTCATCATCATGATGGAAAAATTCAGACTTATTTGGAAATTATGCACTATCACAAGGTCCAGATTTTTCTCTTGGTGCTAAACTTTCAATAGGTTTTCTGTGTGGAAATTGTTCTGGATGGATTTCCCTGCTATCTGATTTTTCAGTAATTTGCTTCAGTTTAATTTCATGTTTGATTTTGGTTTTCCTTATCTAGTTAAATTTGAGTGTATTTTCTTTTTCCATTCATTCTGGCTGAGTTCTCTGTACCTAGCTGCAACTTCCCTATGGAAAGCTTAATGTGAATTACAGCCAAAATAGTAAATGGTGAATCAAAAAGTGACATTGAGTGTGAAAGCCTGTTCCTCTACAGAGCTAGTTTGGAACTGAAACATTTTGCAGAGAAAAGAGGAAACAGCAAATCTTGCATTTTTCAGTGTTATGAGAAGGCACCTGTAATGGCCAGGTACATCTGTTTGCTAAGTATATTTGAAAAGAGGGACGACAGAACTATCAGCTTCCGTAGAATGGGGGTGAGTGGGGCAGAGAAGGGATGTAAAATTCCCAAAGTGTAAGGAACCGGGTGCTGGTGGTTTCCAAATCGATCAGAAGCCTTCCCCTGCTCTGTCACATGGTTCACATTAGCCTTCCTCAGGACATTCCATGCTTACTCTTTAAAATCCAGTTCTTGTTTAATGATGTTGTTACAAAAAAACCACCCAAATTTAAAAAAAAAAAAAAGAAAATAATCTGAAAAATGTTTGTTGCTTCTATAAGAAACCCATTCAGGAAAGCTGTATGATCCTTTCTCAACACATTGCATTGTGTTTGTAATGCACAGACTTGGGAATTTAGACCAGGACAGAACACAGCATTTTCCTGCTCACAGACAGAGGGGTCTGGGAGTGCCTTTTTGTGTGAATCACACGTCCCTCTGGGGAACTGTAGTTAGCAAGTGCCTCACTTTTTGGGTTTATGGAGGGACAATGTGTGTCTTTCCCTTAACTGTATTTGACTGTAAAGAAACCAGGCGTCAGCTGGGTTAGCAGAAGCAGCTCGTCCTAAATGGTGCTGCAGTGTGCTATCGCTGTACCGTTAAGAGAGATAAGTCTAATAAAATGTGTTTGCAATTTTGAACCGGTGATTAAATGAACCTGCTGTTCCACGAGGATCAGATTAGAGTTGGGGTGTATAACTGCCAGTGTAAATATCAGAGCGTAGGAAGACAGAGAGAAACTCAGGATGCAGGGTTTGCCAAAGGCAGACATAAGGAAAGGGAAGTGTGGGAAAGCCGGGTTTGAGGAACATGTGGGCAAGGGAAATCGAGGCAACAGAAAATGCTCTGAAGAAGTAGGGAAAGAGCATTAGGAGTAGAGAGGATCTTATCCCAGCAGCTGGTCAGTACAGTCCTAGTGGACCGTGGTGGTAAGAGGTAGGGGGGAGGTGGATAAATGAAAATATCCCCTTACTCTTCTGCTGGAAACAATTAGCTTTGCAAGGCCTCTCTCGGCCTTGGTGAGGGTGAAAGGATCCTGGTGCTGCACATTCTCTGATAAGCTGAAGGAGAACAGGAGCTGTGCCCCCTTTCTAGGAGTCAGTGCCCTCTGTAATGTTGGGTTGCTGGCAGAGGGCACCAGGGACACGTTTGGCAGAGGGTGTACCCGCAGGATCTCCTCGGTGCCGTGGTCACAGGGCCACGTGGGCTGTGGCTTCCCTCACACACTGATGGATAACAAAGCCTTTCCAGCTGGACAGTTTGGTTTAAATCTGAGCATTGTGCATAGGTCACATGGGCCTCTACTGGGGGAGGTAACGCTGCACACAAACCTTTCTTCATGGCAGCCAGTGGATAGATTTTCCTAGACCCTGCCATAAGTCCCATATCCTTAATGAGGCACTGGACACTCTGCTGTTCCCCGATTGACTTTTTGCCCTATGATTTTGAAGCTGTGTGAGGGCAAGACGTGCTTCAGTCTCATTCTCCAGAGAC